GAGCCATCTTTCTTCATCTTTAAGCAGAAGTTGGCAAGAGGCAGATACTGAGAAAGTCAGCTTCTCAAATTGTTACTGATAAGTTCCCTCTCAAAATATGTCACACAGAACAGTCTCTCCTAGAAAAAAAGACAGAGCAGGTTGTTATTTATAGAAATAGTGATTGTGATGCCATTGTGCTGAAAGGTGAAGCAAATCTGGAGACAAAGCTGCAAGAGCTGATGTGTGTCTGCTTGCTTTGTTTTAAAAAACAGGACACATTTTGACCACTTTCAGAGTTGGCCTTCCTTAGAGGTTCCACTTTACACAGAAATTCCTGAAGTTGTGAAATACGTTCCCCCAAGAAATGCACCATTAAGCAAAGAGTTTAGGGCGTGTCATTCCTGTTGTTGTTGTTGTTCATTCGTTTAGTCGTTTCCGACTCTTTGTGACCTCATGGATGCCCACGCCAGAGCTCCCTGTCGGCCGTCACCACCCCCAGCTCCTTCAAGGTCAATCCAGTCACTTCAAGGATGCCATCCATCCATCTTGCCCTTGGTCGGCCCCTCTTTCTTTTTCCTTCCATTTTCCCCAGCATCATTGTCTTCTCTAAGCTTTCCTTTCTTCTCATGATGTGGCCAAAGTACTTCATCTTTGCCTCTACTATCCTTCCCTCCAACGAACAGTCAGGCTTTATTTCCTGAAGTATGTACTGGTTGGATCTTCTCGCGATCCAAGGCACTCTCAGAACTTTCCTCCAACACCACAGTTTAAAAGCATCTCTTTCTTCACTCAGTCTTCCCTATGGTCCAGCTCTCACATCCGTAGGTGACTATGGGGAATACCATTGCTTTAACTATGTGGATCTTGGTTGCCAGTGTGATGTCTCTACTCTTTACTATTTTATTGAGATTGGACATTGCTCTCCTCTCAAGAAGTAAGCGTCTCCTGATTTTCTGGCTGCAGTCTGCATCTGCAGTAATCTTTGCATGTGTCATTCCTACATGATCTTTAACTTCTTGGGATTTTCAATCTATGTTAGAAATGTGTAGCAAAATATTCAACACAGTACAGTCACACTTACTCACCATCAGTGAAGGTAAGCAGTGTTATTTTGCTTTAGGCAAACTTTCCTGAATCAGTCAACCCTTGCCATACCAGTTTTTTCACTACCATCCCTCTCTTATTTTTAACTCACTGGCTTCATTCATGTTTCAACCCCAGCCTTGTCTTTCATTCTTTCCTTTTAGTTAGCAGATTAATCATTTACCAAGTAGTGTGGTTAGTGAAATCTTTGGCTTAAACTACAGAAAGATGTTTTTCATAACTTGACAGATTATATCCAATTTCAGGTGTGAAACCATTTTGAAAATGGTACTTTGGTACAGGAATATTTTGTGCATGGCAGGGGATAGGACTAGATGGGCCATGTGGTCTCTTCCAACTCTATTATTCTGTGATTCTATCCAAAAATGCACCAATTCCAATATAATAGACTTTTTAAAAAAGTGTATTCAAAGTTTTTTCTCTAGTACTTACACTTTTATACAGTATGACCCCCTTATCCATTGTGTGTGGGGGGGGGGGGGACGACGACATATATTCCATGAATGTCTGTGGTTATCTGAAACCACTGGTAATAGTCAACCTTATATTTGGACTATGCTTGGGCTGGAAACATACCATAGATTTACACTGGAATATAGGGAATATTTTTGAAGTTCTGTTCAGTGGGACTGTGGATATTGATTATGTGGCTAAAGGGATCGTATTCTATATTGCCAGTGTCAGTACATACCAACATATCCATTCCTGGCCATTAAAGATATAAGTAAAACTGAAGTACAGTACATGTGACAAATAAAGCAAAAAATTGATATAATATGGCAAACTAGTCGGTTGAAGCCCAAATATTCAAAAATGTATACAAATATGCATAAGTAATTTTTTGTTGAATAATCTTTGTCAGTTGGAAGCATTCATAGTGTGGACCATTTCAGTTGTTCAGGATTCCATAAGAAGTTTGTGATAGTGTTATTGTGAATGCTCTGAAAAATTATCACTGCACATTGAGCTTCATAGCTATGAAAATAGCAAGAATGCTCTTATTGTGAAGCATGTCCATTTGTATTTTTCATTACTATTTTCTTTTTTCATAAGGCATTAAATTTCTTACTATTTTGTAAAGCCACAGTATCCTATCAAAAATTCAGATCTCCTTTTACAACAATAAGTATATTTTCTTACCTCTTACAAAGATTATTATATCATTTTAATGATATAACAAAATGCATGTTGATAGGACAGTTAGATCGATATCCAATTTATATATGAGTACAGTATTCAAAACATTGACAATCTGGTGAAGAATTGCTCAGCTTTTTTGCTTCTTCATTGTTTATAAAGGTTTTATCAGACAGTGGAGCCTGTGCATTCTTGCTGCCTTGGATGCACTCACTCATAGTAATTGCCATCTAAACACACATAATTATACAACAAAAGTTGCAAGTGGCCAAATTAGTTCCCTTTATTGATGAAATTCCTCATAAAATCCTGCCATTTGTCTTGAAATAACATGATCTCAAAGTACTTGCCTCCTGTTTTCAGTACCCTTTTGTTCTCTTGGATGTCTTTTAATCATTGGAGAGATATTTATCCCAGATAGTTTAATCAGAGACTTTCTCAATATCACTTAACACTGGAAATTTTGAAAGCAACAATTCATCAATGTCTTTGAGGACTATAACCTCGAAATATTTGCAAGTACTATTTCATCATATGTACTTGGAGAACTTCGTGTTAGTGTGTGTGATGAGGATTGTTGTCTTCCCTAAAAACTTAAAAATAAACTTCTGGTTGCGTCCTGGTTTGAAAAAAATGCACAATAAAGGGCAACTAACCCTGATGTACATTACTGTTGTCTAATCTATTGTACACAAGTAATTTGGAACCTGAAAATACCTTGCTGCTCATACAATGGAAATACTATATTCTCCTGTACTTTCAGAATTAATGCAGTTTGATGGCACTTTGACTGCTATGAATCAATCATTTGGAATCATGAGAGCTGTAGCTTTTCAAGATCTTTGGTTTTCTCTGCTAAAATGTGCTCAATCCTCACCAAACTACAGATCCCAGGATTCTAAAGCATTGAGCCATAATCATTAAAGTGATGTCAAGCTGCATTAATTCTACAGTGTGGATACATCCTTAGTTTCCACTGTAGTCTGCGCTTGTCGGGCCTCATGTTGAGTACTGTGTTTGGTTTTGGGCATCTCCTTTTAAGAAGGTTATAGATAAGTTGGAGCAGGTTAGAGAAGGGCAATAAGGATGATAAGAGTTATGTAGAACAAAACAAAGACGGGTTGGGGAGCTGGGCTTGTTCAGCTTGGTAATGATAATACGAATGTGATTATATTATTTGAATACTTCAAAGGCTACACAGAAAGGAGGTGAGAGACCTGTTCTCTGCTGCCCCAAGAGGTAGGAACAGATCTAATAGTGTGAAATTACAGGAAATTAGTTGCCTGCTCCTAGATTTTGAGACTTCTTTCTCAGGGAGGCCAGAATCATCCCCTCCTTGTTCTCCATCCAACTGTTGGCTGAAATTTTTTCAATCAGATAGTCTCTTAAAACATGAAGTGGGTACTGCATCATTTTAATTGAATTGTTTTCAACAGTTTTAAAATGTATTTTAACTTCTTTGTTTTAATAATTGTATTGAGCTTAATTTTATTGTAATAGCTACCTTTTATTTGTTTAGAATTTGATCACTTTTTAAATTGTGAACTGTTTTGGGTCTCGCTTTGGGAGGATTGGGTATTATTTTTGTTGTTGTTGTTGTTATTATTATTATTATTATTCCAGCTTCGTGATTCTATAACTATGACTTTAATATCTTATTGTTGATCAAACAGTAGCAGTTGTTGATATAGTAGTCAACCTTATATAGATGTAGATACAGTAACACATTCACAGGGCACTGTGTATAACAATTAAAACAGCATCATATCTAGTTTAGAAAAAATAGGAATTCTTGGGTTTGCAGCAAAAGCCTTGCAGTTAATTAAGATGAATGGCAAAGATCTATAGCCTTCTCTTCAGTGGCAATTCTTTGCCATTATTGAGGGTCCTTGAAGAACAGAGTGCAAGAAATGAGAAGTAACTCTGCTAGTGCAATTTCCCTTCCGTTTTTTTTAGATTTCAGATATATACTGAATAATATACTAATAATATAATATATTGTATGTACATATAACTTGTAAGCTGCTCTGAGTCCCCTTCAGGGTGAGAAGGGTGGCGCAGAAAATAAATAAATAAACAAACAAACAAACAAAATATGTAGTGTCCTGGCAGCTTTTTGTCCATTGAAAAATAAGGTGACAGGAAAGTTGAAAAACAAATGCAAGATAATTGCAAGCAAAGTAGTTACATTTTAAATAAGTTTCACCTAATTCAGCATTCTGATATCGTAAAAAATGGAGAAAACTCATGTGAGGTACATGCCAACCTCTTACAGTTGCTATCAACTATAGTTTGTTCCATTCTCCAAGGTTCATGTAACATGTTGAACCATGTATATGTGTAAGGAAACCTCTTAAGTGTTTCTGAAATGTGAATAAGGAAGCTAAACATTAACAAACATTTTACTTACCATATCTTAGTTATTTATTTGTAATCAGGATTTTGTCAAATAACCACTAGTTTAAAGAAAGGCTTTATAAAAAAAATCCCACTAAAGCCAACTGAGTAGTGATCATTGTTGCATTTCACAAGGATGTTTACCTTCAGAGTCTTGACAATGAGCATAGCAGCTGTTATGGTTTATATTGAAACTTCCTGAGTCTGGCTCCTGTCATCATGCACTTGTCCACTTTAGGATTTTCAGTATAGGTTAAAATACTGACAATGGTGACTAAAAGCAAGGCTAGGCAGTATTGGTGATACTAGAAATAAAACTGTTGTTACCTGCATTATATTTTGTTCAAGAAGCCTAATTATGCTTTGCTTTTTATAAACAGGCCACATGCAAAAAATCAAACACCATAACACCTACAGCACAGTTGTCTAAAATCAAAGTACCTCCTGCCCCAGCTGTATCGAAGAAAGAGAAACGACAGAGTTCTTCAAGATTTAGTATTAGCAATAACAGAGAACTCCAAAAGCTGCCAGCTTTAAAAGGTAATTGCTATATTTCTTTCTGTAATCCTTGCCAGAGAAACATGTTGTTTATGCAAGTCTGGGAAATCTTTTTACTATTGTAGCTTGCGTTTTAGTTGGATTTTGGCATGCAGAGTAAGGTTTCTGACTGTTTCTCCTCAAGTTTTCAACAAGTGTTGAGTGCACCAGTGTGATGGAGTGTGAACTGCCCTATGTTTCAAGAATGATTAGCTATGCATAAACAGCTCTTGGGGGAGGGAATGAAGAACAAACCAGCCCCACCTCAGCGCATGCAACTCACCAGTTCTCTATCGTTGCCTGAGGACATTATCAGAAAATTACACTCCCCAAACACATGGGATAGTGTTGTGCTGTCCTAATGTCAGAACACAAATAATTTGAGAACTACTTTTGTCTCAGTCTGCAAGTATCATGTTTTTGTTGCTGCAGAAAGCTTTTTGTGGTAATCAAGACATGGATTTTGAGTTAGTGTGGGACTATGCTTTATTGTGTAAGGCAAAAATGGATGACACCCTGTGTCATATGCTGAGACATGATCTGTTCTCACCATCAGTTATGGAAGACATGGAATTAAGATCATGTAACTAGCTTTGTTGATGTTGTAAACATCTTGAGGACACCAGGTTGATTGCCCCTGTTTCAGAATATGGAAGCTTGCTTTTAACTCAAAGCAGTACTTCACAGTTAAATCTTTGTAATGTTCATGCTATTGAATCATTTTAGAGAGATTGGATTTTGAAGATATCCAGTGTTCATTATTTTCTGCCCATTAGCAGCTTCCAATAGGTCTTATACTTTCAGAGGCATTGATTATTAAATCAGTTTTAAGAGCTTGTGCAGATTTGGCAACATTTAATTTGCAATTGTGGTTAACGGGCAATGAATAGACTTGGCTGTAAAATTTTTAGAAGACTAAAGCTGTGGGAAAAATAATTCCTTCTTTTTGAGACTGGAAAAAAAGAGATGTTGAAGAAAAGGGATATATAAACAGTATTTAGCTGAACTGAGTTTACTTTATCAACATACAATGTACTAGTAATAATATGCCTTTTGGGTTGCTGTGAGTTTCTAGGCTGTATGGTCATGTTCCAGAATCACTCTCTCCTGATGTTTCACCAACATCTATGACAGGCATGCACAGAGGTTGTAAAGTCTTTTGCCATACTATCTAAAGTTACTTACTAGTTAAAGTATTTTGTAACCATTTTGAAGTTTACACTTTGGCCTCAAAAAGTATAATTGTTTTATAAATTTCTCCAAGAAGAAATAAGAATGTGCCCTATACAAAGGAAGCCAAATACTGCATTCCCTTATACCAAAATATTTATATTTTAGTCATTGCTGTTTGAGAAATTGGAAAATTGAAAATACTATCATTTTAGATTTTAAAGTGTAGTTTTTAAATCAAAACGGTTCTATATGTGCTAATCTTAAAATCTAACAGAATATTTGCAAATTGATTAAAGCTTCAGATTTTATAGCATACACAGTGGTTGTCCAATGCTATAGACAGTCCTACATGCAGCTGTTCGTAGAGAACATTTTGACTAGGTAACACCTTGTCTGCAATGGCATTTCACTCATAACAAAATCCAGAGTATTTCATTTGAGTTCCTTTTCAGCATTCCCTTGGTTGTCCAATTTTCTGTCTCAATTTTTAAGTCCCCCCTTCTTCTTTTTTTCTCCTCAGAGTTCATATCTTTAAGTATGATTTTTCCTTCTCTGGATTGAATTTGACCGTGCACTTTGATGGCTATTGTTATGTTGGATGCTAAAGAAAACTTTGGAGCCAAGCTTAAATATTAAGTCAGCCTGATAATGGTTTGAGTACTGGATGGGGCTCTGGAGACCCAGGTTCACATCCTGATCAGCCTTGTCTGTGACAAAATAGTGCATGTACATATAGCACAATCATTCCTTTTCATCAATTTAGACAGTTCAGGTTTGCCATTGTAAATTTATCCAGATTTTTTAAAACACTCTGCTCAAATGTAGAATCTTAAACATGCAATCTGATTAAGCATGAATTAAGGCATTAGCAAACAAGTGTTTTATATCCTTTTTGCTGGTTTCAAAAGGTAACATACTTGAAAATTTGTAATTAACGAAGGTGTTAGAAGTGGCATTCATTGGGATTAATCATTTCTTGCATAGTCTGGTTTTCTAAGGCCGAGTACTTAATCTCGGCCTTAGAAATTAAGGCCGAGATGATGAGATGTTTGAAGCATGTAAATAACATTTGCATTCTGATAAAGTTTAATTGTGAGGGGGATACTTCTTTACTCTTTATAACTACATCCCCATAATCTGGTCCTAGCCGTGCAAACCCATATTACAAGTAATGGACTACTTATTACTGAAACATTCCTTTTGTTTTATAAGAAAGTCATACACGTCATGGGTCCTTGGGTTTATGAATAATATTATTCTGAACACATTAAAACTGAAAACGTAGTGCAACTCACATTTGTATAATTTTGAGAACAAAATTTGTGTTACCTTGTGTGAAATACCGTATTTACTTGAGTATAATGTGCCAACGATTGTAATACGCACCTCTATTTTGAAGGTGTGCATCTGTTAAAAAAAAAAGATTTGTTGTTGAATGTAATGCCAGTCGGATATTCTGCTACCCACCTTGGAACAGCCAACAAACAAGGGAATGCTGTGCCTCTCCATCTGGCTGAGGCTGGTGAACTCACCAGTCTTGACCTAATGGGTTGGCAGCAGCTGCCCAACTAAGCCCACATTCAAAGGCCTTTAAAACCGAAGAGGAGATTTTGAAGGCCTTGTGAATGTGGCCACTTGAGAAAGTTTGCTAGCCACAGCCTAGCGAAGGGACTCATGTGGGATTCTAATACGTTATTGAATCTAATGCACACTTCACTTTGGCTATGTAACTTAGCCAAAAAGGCTAAGCATTAGATTTGAGTAAATATGGTATAAGACATTGTAGTCCTAATGAGATTTTTTGAAACTGAACCCAATCTTTCTGCTTTTAGCTTGAGTAATGTAGGGTAAATCTATTGCAGGCAGAAAGTACAACAATCAGAATTGAAAGGAAGTGCAAGAGGGACACTTCCTCTTTGCTCTGCTCCCCACTATGATCGCCCCTCAACATCTGGAGAATTTTCTGTGTAATATGATATGTGTTGGGAACATCTCAGGGGTACGGTGTTAAGGAGACATTTTGCAGAAGCGTATGCAACAGTGGAAAAGAAACCATGGGAACTTTAAACAGTGCACACAATATATGTGGAGATGTGACTAGATTTAGTAAGATTAAATGTGAAATCTATTTAAGTGAAATTACCTAAAATGTGGGTTTTGATTTATTTCTTGAAAAAACTTGTATTGGTGTGTTTTTTGTCTTGGATATGCTAAGTGAGTTGAAGCATCCTCTCTTGGAAATATTGTTAACTGTGGTCAAGTCCATGTCAAATTATAGCAGCTATGAATGAGAGACTTCCAAATCACCCTTTCGTGAACATCTTCACTTGGGTCTTGCATGCTCAGGGCTTTGTGTTTCTTGATTGAGCCTTCCCATTTGCAATGTTATCTTCCTCTTTTTCTTCTGCTTTCTACCTTGCTGGGCATTATCGTCCTTTGTAGTGAGTCATATCTTTTCATTATATGGTCAGAGGACAATATTCAGATTAATCTTTTTGACTTCCTGGGAGAACTCGGACCTACTTTGCTCTGAGATTCGTTTATTATTATTTTTTCTCTTTCTCCACCTTCTCCTCCTCTTCCTTTTTGGGCGGGGGGATTCAGATTATTTGCAGAACTCTCCTTTAGCATCAAATCTCAGGTGATGATTTTCTTCTTATCGGCCTTCAACATCTAGATTTCCCAGGCACACTTTTACAATGACATGGACAATCCTTTGGTATTCAAACATATTGGGATATGATACTCTACTACACCGGTAGTTATTTTTGGGGATTATAACAGCTAAAATCTGAGATTTCAGGGGATTGCAATCCAGAAAAGCAATAGTTGTAATTACTTGCTGATACTTCTGTCACCAGATCCTATATTTATTTCTTCTTTGTAATATGCTTTGGAATTTAGATCCACAAGTAAGTTATTTAATTTTCTGTATCTTTTAACAAAGGCATTTCATTGAAATACTTTAGTGTGGCCAGTTTGTATCTTGGGCGGCTGTTTTCATGGTGTCAAAACTGAAAAGAAGAAATGTGTGCAACATTGTGTTGCTTGATCAAACTACTTAATAATTGTAAATATAGAAAATTGATTGTGTGCCACCTAGTGGGTATATCATTTTCTCCTGATTTGCAACCTTAAATAAATCGTACTTTGTCAAGAATAGATACGTGTTGCTTCATAGCAAGGATTACTTTTTCTTTGGGAAAAATTTAAATTCCTTAACAGGAAAATATGAATACTAGAGAAAGGGGGATTAAATCTATAACACATGTCTTGGGAAGACCAACATATGAACAGTGGAGCAATTGCAGTCAATTAACATGCAGAGTTTACACCAGTGTTGCATGCCTATATTTGTGTTAATGTAAATGCTTTTCTTAGAAGTAATAGTTTTGTGATGTCACCAGTATTATCTTACAGAGTGCTGTGTGGCCATATGAATGTAGGCTAGTGGCTCCATTTCCTTAGTACTTTGTGCTGAGTTCACATGGACCTTTTCGATAACTATTTTATGTTGGAGCTTTAATTTTTACATTGGAAATAGAATGTTTTGGCGGAAATGGTGGAAAATAAGTTGAACTGTTGTGGCATATTAAAATGTAATTATTAGGTTCCTATTGCTGTTCATATTTGTATAATTCTTCAGTATCCCCCCTTTGCAAAAATTCCAGCATTCAGTCACCCAATTTCTATGTTGGGAGCTGAAGAAGAGACCATAATCTTGCCAACGCTACACAGTTTCAGGTATAGTTATGATTTAGACCAGATATGGGCAAATCCAGGCCCCGGAGCCAGATGTGGCTCCTTGGGCTCTTTTCTCAGGCCCTCCT